GAACGAAGGGAGTGATTGACAGACTTCCGGGAGTTCTTCAGTTGTGTCTGCCGAGGTGCATCCAGCGGGTCTTTTGGGCCTGGCGAATGTGGAAGCGAGGTGCTGACAGATTAGACAAGTAGACCATTAGGCAGTATGATGGCAAGAAAGCTTTGGAGTTGCAGTCTTCCTCCATCTAATTTTAGAACATACCTTCGTTGTGTGTGACTGCATTTATCGCGGACCCTCGAGCTACATCATGGTTCAGGATTAGATCAGAAATCTCATGTTCTAGGGCAGAACAAGAAGCTTGTTGGTTGAATCCTTCCGGCTGGGATCTTGTTGAGGCATCCTCCCCAGCCCAACAAGGGGCTTTTTGTGCGGAATGCTTTTCTATTTTGGGAGTGCTGGCCTGGCATATCATCTTGACCCACTCGAATGGACTGAGTTGAAATGCAGAATTTCCCGCCGCCTGGATTTGCGAGCACATATCCTGTCTGTCCAGAATGACCCTGTCCGCAAAGACATCTAAGAAGCGCCTAGCGTGCATAGTCCCCCTTTAAGAGGGGCTGTGAATGGTAGGTGATTCTCAGATGAGCGATAGTCTAAACTAAGCTCCTTGAAGGGGGTGTGAGGGGAGTATAGGTGAGTATTATAGTGGTTACTTAAGGGGCTACTAGGAGTTTAGACTATGGCTTAGATGGTCTTAGCCATGCAGTTTCCATGCCAGGTGTGGCGGAAGGGCAACTTGGCATGCAAAGCGTCCAGGCCATGAATCCTAAACCCTATTCCTCACACACCTTTTTCCGGGATGCAAAGATAGGATCGAAGATTCCAAGGTTACCAGAAGGGGTCATCCACAGAGGTATTGGTTGTAAATTTCATGTGAGCGTGCAATTGCTATTACGAATCCCTATCCGGACCCCACTGCCAAATATAGGACGGATTGCGTAGGATAAATGCATCGTGGGACCATTCATGTAGTAGTTGATTCAAGTGCTTTTCAGTGGCCTCCAACAGCTTGGAGAGAAAAAGGGAGGTTCAATGAAACCAACACAAGGCACAAGGGATTCCAAAAACATCTGGACACTGAACTTACGCGCCAGCTCCCTGTCGCAGAGATCCTATATGGATGTTTGGTATCATCGACCCTGACGCAGCTAGGCCCACTACTTCATCTCATCTTGCTAGTGTCTGGCCAGCTCTCTGTTGCCTTGTCATGGGCAGCTTGGGGGGTCTCATGAAAGGGCGTTGCGGGGCCTCTTTAATCAGAGCCAGCGCAGCTGTGAAGTAAGCATGTGTTCTGTATTTTAGGCTAGCTACGTGGGCCGGCCCTGCTGCTGCGTGGAGACGACATCACACAACATGCAGAGAGCGACCGGAAGGGCACTTTCAGGAAGGGTCTTTCAAAAATCCCTCCATGCCGTTGGGGGGAGATTTCAAACCGCACGAAGTTTGGCTTGGCTTTGGAGTGGGGTCAGGGAGGAGCCCTTGAAGAAACAGAGGCCTCATGATGCGGGCTGGAGGGTGGGGGTTGGCAGCAGTGACACCCCCTACAGAACGAAAGCTGTAGACAGTCCTTTGCCCTGGACCACAGCTGCAAGCGCAGTACCTAACGACCAAAAACAGGCGCAGTAACTAACAGGACAAGAATGACATAACAGTAGAACTTCATCATAGTCGAAGCAGAAATGGTTGGAATAGTAGTGGGCAAAAGAGGGGATGTTTTCGGAGTGGGCGCCGCCCACTAAAGGGGTCGGCGGATGTGCGGCACGAGCCATAAGTCCTTCACTCACTTTTTTGGTATCTTGTGCTCTTCATTTGTTCGCGACCAACACCTACGCCTCGCTCCGAATCCGAAAATTTTGTTCTGTGATAGCCTCCCGGGCACGAAGTCTACTGACATTTTGTTACACCTTTCCCACATTTCTTCGAGACCAGAAAATATGGGTTGAGGTTCTACCCGGCCTACATCTCGCTCGCTACGCTTGTGGCTGCGGTGGTGGGCTGGGTGCCAGCCGCAGATTTCTGCAGAGCATTGTCATCCCATAGAATTCTGATATGAATGGGGGTTAGAAGATGTGAGTAGTTCTTGCCAAGGAAAGGCTTCACATGTCAGCCACACGCTGCGTGCGGCATAATTTTCCACCTCCTAGCGCGAAATGCGAGTACTGCCCAACTTGATGGGGATGTATGCTTAAACGTCTTGATCGGCGTTACAGCTTTCCTAGTCGACACTGGCTCATCTGCAGGTTTGACGCACTGACACTGGTAAGATAATGAACATGATCAGTGAGTGCTGTCATCCAGCACTTCCCTGCATCATCTTGGATCTTCACACAGCATGCTACCGCAGCGTACAATCTCGGCTCAAAAGGGGCCGAGCCTCCCTGGTGTCAGCCATGGGAAAGAAGGGCAAGTGGCCTGGTTTGATGAGAGTGATGTCATCATACCCATGTCTCAGCACTACCGATGCCGTCAGCCGTTCCTGTCTTTCTTCATCTTTTATTCGCTCCCAAGCGAGACTCATGCTTGCCAATTGTCATCATTGTCATCACTGGCTTGCTTCAAGCGTCTTCATTATGCTTCGAGTGTACAGACATAGGTTAGGGCCCGAGTGTAAGCAGACCAAGACGACCTGTTGTTTGCTTGCTGCGTTTCAGGCACCGCAAGTCAGGCTCACGGTCAAACTGCTGAAGGGATTTAGCTGTCATCATTGGTTCATTTATGGGATGTTCTCTGCTATTCCAACGGAAATCGTCAAGTAGAAGTAGAAGCTCAGAGAATCATGAGGTACTTGGCATTTCTGGTTCGTGCTTTCTGTGATTTCATGACACATTCCCTAACTCTCAGCCTCACGTCTAGGCCCTACATCCCGCATGCCACCTTCAACATTGAATCCCAAACCCAAAGCCCCAAGTCCGTAAAACCTCAAAAACACCGCTCGAATCAAGCCTGAACTCTGTGTGGCATCCCCATCCGCACCAGCCCGGAAGCCTAAAAGCCCTAAACACTTTGGGAAGCCCAAGGAAGAAGAAGGCAGCGGCCCCAGAGCCCGTGGAGGAGATCCCAGCCGATCTGAAGGCTGGGGGATAACAATTGGGTTTTTCAGGCTTAGGTATTCAGGGTTTAGCGCTCAGGGTTGTAGGGCTTCAGGGTTTCGGGGCCCTGCTTTGGGGTTTAGGATTTGTGCTTTGGCTTTTTGGAGTCCGGATTAGGATTTCCGCGAAAGGCCTCGGTTACGGAGTCCGGACGGTAGTTCCAAGTATATATTCCAGGTCATACAGGATTTGCTTGTGTAAGACCGCCAAGATTCATAAGGTACCCTTGATGTTGTCAATTCCCAGATTGTCCGTTGCAAGAGGCCTCCCAGAGCTTCCACTGTACTGTACTTGCCCGTGCTGTTCAATTTCTTCGGATAAGCATTCGTAAGTACCGTAGCTGCACCGGAAGTGTTTCTCGGACGTTCAGGCCCTAGGCACCTGGGTAAATACCAAACGCACCCGATAACCCAAATGCTAGACCTTGCATCCTATGCCCAAGGCCTGGCATCCCTAAGCCTCCAAATCCTTCTTGCATGTGCATCTCGTGGAAATCATTGGTGATGATGACAGCAGCAGCAGTGGGCAGTCTCAGTATTCCGTAGTGAGGAACTGGCCTCGAAGCCCTCAACCGCTTTTGCCCACAGTACTTAGCTTGATTTGCCTATGATTTCTCGGTTCCGGTTTGTACTACTCTCTAAACCCCAAGCCCATAATCCCCAGTCGGCGTGCCCGTCGGGGCAAAATTCGGAAATGTACAAAAACGCAGCGGGCAGGTTCCCGCCCGGAGCCGACTTTGGTTCCGGGCGGGAACACGCCCGCTGCGTTTTGACACATTTCCGGCATGTGTATACCAAAAGTAGCACCTCTTATAGCTAATGAGCCCACCCCTGCCCTGTGGATCCACCGTTTTCGTGTGTTTGAGACTAAATAACCTTTCGATTTATTCGAGAATTGGTTTTTGATGTTCTTAATCTACAGCCTTTATCAAATAAGCTGCCAAGTACTACCGGAATTCTGAGACCTGGGCTAATGATTTTCTTCAAGCGAATGCCTTACTAAATTGGCTTCTAATAATTCGATGAATTGTCAGATTCTGGGCTATTGTTTTTCTGTAGAAGCTCCTTACTACATAATGTTCGCTTCACTTGGGCAATTCTCAAATTCTGTGTTAGGGGCTTTATCTCTAAATCCATGATTAAACAAGCTTTGATTTGTTCGGGGAATACTCACATCAGAGGCGCCTGATTTTCTTTCGAAGCTTCTCATATTTGAAGGAATTCTCAGGTTTTGGGTTCCTGATGCTAAGTATGTACATCACTTCGTAATTACAACTTCAACGGACTTACTTACAAAGCTTCAAGATACTAGCGTGGACTTCCTAAATATTTAAACCGCTTACAGAAAACGTTCCCAAGGGTAGTAGGAATGTGCAACATGTTCATTCCGGTGTTGAGTAATCAGCAACATATTCTCCGCTACATGTAGCTCAAGGAGGGCCCTTCTTTGCTTGAGATTCATGGTTCACGGTTGAGCGCTGCGCTCTTGAGAAAACAGCGCTGTGCGCGCTTCCTGACTGTGTTTTCTGAGCCCGATCTACGTTTCTGCTGTGCTGCTCGCTGCATTGGCAGCGGAGCGTAAGCTCCGGGGCCTCCAGGTGCGTGACTCCTGTAAGGACGAGGGCACCTAGCTTGCTGTCTTCTTCTTCTACGCGGGCTTCTACGTCCCCGGCGGCAAGCGACAATTCTTCCTTTTTGTTTGACTTCTTCTTCAAGGCCATCTTCGAGAAGGATGGCGGATTCCAAAGAGCTCTCAGGAATACCTTCATGGGACGGTTCAGCAAGGACTTGGAGGAGGTACACCCGAGAAGTTAGCTGGTTTGTTCAAGCTACGCCTGTTCACAAGTGCCGCTACTGCTCCAGCAAACTTCTTGGCAAGCTTTCCGGACCGGCAAGGCTGTTGGCAATGTCGTGGAGCAAAATGGCATTTGATTCTCCCGGAGGAACTCGGCTCCTGCTCCAGAGATTGGCGGCGAGCCCCTTGGTCCGTAAGACTCTCCCAAACGCGGCTGCGATCTGCCAACAGTACTTCTCCTTCAAGCGGAATCCTCATGAGTCCATAGGCAACTTTTTGGTCAGAGAGACTCTCGTTCATGAAGAGTTCACAGAAGCCATCATCCGCTTGCATGAAGAGAAGCTCGGACTTACTCAGGAGTCACGCGACTTTGGACTTCCTCGTGAAGAATGGTCTGAGTCAGGCTCTTGGGGCGATGGCGGCTGGTGGGACGACCGCTACTATGAGCCTGAGTATGAGGAGGCTGGCGATGAAGAACCTCATCCTGACCTCGATTCTCCGCATGTTGATGGTGATGATTCAGGACTACCTCAACAAGTCCCTGGCCAAGGCAACCCGACGGCAGCCACTGGATCGTCTCCAAGCCACCGACCTGCTTCCCTGCGAGATGCAGCTGTTGGAAGCACTGCTGCGCTGGACACTGGACCTGTCAAGAACGTCGAGGCCATTGATGAGCTGGCCATTGCGGACTCGTTTGTGATGGGCGTGTTGCGCGGGTGGCGGCTGATCCAAGCAGCTGGGCTCTCGGCTGAAGAAAAGCGAGACATCCTCTCTACGACTAAGAATTCCTTGGACTATGAGAGCATCTCCTCGGCCTTGCAGAGTCTCTGGGACGACCAGCTGCTGAGCCATCGACATCAACGACAAGGCGCCGACTTCTACTCGAACCAGGCGGAGCAGTTCGACAACGGCGAGCTCTACTACCAGGAGACTGATGATTGGTGGCAAGGACAAGATGGATGGTGGAACGACAGTTACTACCATGAGTCCGAGGCCTATGATTGGTGGGAGGACGATCCATGGTACCATCACGAGTACAATGTGGCCACCGAACCTGAAGATCCTGAATTCTCCGAGAAGCTGAAGGAGGCTCAGAATGCTGAGCGCGTTGCCGAGTCTCTGGCTATTGAGGCCTCTCGTACTTGGGCTGATGCCCAACGTGCCACTCAGGCACTTCGTAAGGATCGAGGATTTGGTCTTCATACCACCTCCAACGGCGGCTCCTTCGGCAAGTGCTTCATATGCGGAGGTAACCACTTTGCCCGAGAGTGCCCAGATCGTCAGCATCCCGGCAAGGGCTATCCTAAGGGCAAGTACAAGAACTACATGACCGAGTATGAGGACCTCAACTACTCCACCAAGGGCAAGTTCAAGGGGAAGTCCAAAGGCAAGAACAACCATTGGATGGAGAATCACGGCCTGTGGAAAGGTGGAAAAGGACGTGGCAAGAACCCCATGAAGGGCAAGGATGCACCTCGCTCTGTCAACGCCTACTCCTCGGACATGATCCTTGCTGGCTTGGAGGTTCTTGAAGCCCAATCGTCCTCAGCGTCCTCATCTACTGAGCCTGGTATCGGCGTGATTGATTGTGGAGCCACGGCCTCTGCAGCACCGGAAGCTGTGGTTAAGAGTTTGATTGATGCCGTTCTCACCCATGACAAGGGAGCGATCATTGAACTTGATCAGAGTGCTCGGCCATACTTTCGCTTTGGGAACGGGCGTTGGGGTAGAGCCTTGTGTAGAGTTCATATCAGCAGTGCAGTGTCCGGGAGAACTCGTCAATTTTCCTTGTATACCTTGCCGAATCCTGCTGAGTATGTGAACAACAACTTTGACAAGTCATACTTGGTTCCGGTGCTGATTGGTATGGATCATCTGGGTCACAAAGGGGTTGGTATGATGATTGATTTCGCCCTGGGGTTGGCAATGAACACCCTCGATGAGAACCCGGAGATCTATCACCTGGACAAGAACCCCAAGGGCCACTTCACGTTAGACATCATCAACTACCTCACTCAGGGCCAACGCAACTGTAAGGGGCAACCACGGGTGATTGTACGAAATCAGTCCTCGAAGACCACACAATCACAAGAACATCAGTTTCTGGAGCTAGGCACGGTTTACATGGACATGACGCTGCAGGACCATGAGCTAGATGAGCAGTCTCTGCAAGCAGCCCGTGGTCGTATGCGCCACATGTTCCAGTATGCGCAACTTCGTCGGTCACCAGCAGCTCTTACAGCTCAAATGCCTGTTGACACTCTTGTCAACCAAGAAACCTCGACAACTTCCTCTTCTTGCCCCTCAGGACATGTCGCGCTCTCAGCCGCAGACTCCCGAGGACAGCGTCGTGAACGAGATCAAGAAGCGAACCCCGGTGGCGAAGGTCAAGGCCAAACCGCTCGACTTCGCCCGGAAGATTCCCATCGACAAGAGGGATCCTCGCTGCAGCGAGAATCAGTGGCCATGCCACAACAAGCACACGGCGGCCAAGGTGATGAGCAACATGCACGGGAGCTGGGTTCACTGCGCCTGCTGCAATGTCTGCCTGGAGTATGTTCCCCGGATCGGGAGCGCCGCAGCCCATACCAAGGTGGAGTGTCCGGCCATGGTCAACCGGATGTTGGAGGAACTGGAAGGATGAGCTCCACTTCGTCCAACCGCGGCTACACAAGGCCAACCACGAATTCCAGCAGCCCGGGCGAGTCCACCAACGACTCATGGATCAACATGGAGACGGAGGGCGACCTGGCCACCGCGTACGAGCAAGAGGCCAATCAACAGTGACCGCCCTGCCTCTGTCCGTTGGGAAAAAGATCATGAGCCTGGCAACAATGCTTATGGCCTGTACTTCCTCCCTACTGCTCTCCCTTCATCTTGGACCTCGTGATGGACTATGGGAGGTGGCTTGTGCGCCACACTCATGGCTCAGCATGGCTGCTGAGGAACATGGGCTACAACCTCGTCGCATCAATCTACAGCAAGGATATGATCTTTATCAGGCATCGACGTGGGAACGACTTCGAGAAGAACGTCGCCTCCGACGACCCCGCAGGATCTGGCTCTCACTTCCTTGTACAAAGTGGTGCGCATGGACCTCCTTGAACTACAACACTCCAGAACGACGAGCCGCTCTGGAAACAGCCAGACGGAAGGAACGCAAGCTTCTCTGGTATGTCAACGCTTTTGTCAAGGAGACCCTCGATGAGGATGACAGCGTGGAAATCTACTTTGAGTGGCCCTGGCCATGCTTTGGCTGGAAGCAGCAACCGCTGCTGGATCTCGCAGCTCACCTAGACCGGAAGATGATCCCTTGGCTGGATTGCAGGATTGATGGCTGCAACTATGGTATGCGAGATCCCCATGGCTCCTTTGTCCAGAAGAAGTGGCTTATCAAAACCACCTCGGAGACATTCCACAAGGCCTTTCGAGCCAAAGTTTGTCAAGGAGGACATGGAGTACATGCGAACATCCAAGGCCAACTCACAAACGCCTCTGCCTACTACCCATGGAGAATGGTACAAGCCTTCGCCAGACACTGGCGAGATACCATGGTTCCTCAACGCCACGTCCGACTCCTACATCAACGAGACGATCCTGATCTATGTGAACATCAATCGTCTTGGTCAATGACAATGGAGGAGTTTGAGGTAGTGAACGACATTGAGGAACATGTCGTGCTGGAGGAATATGAGGTTCAGATTGCATCAGCCGAAGTGATTCGGATGGAGCATGTGGCCCGGACCTTCCGAATCAACAATCAGGTTACCGCACAGACCTGTGAGGAGATCCTGATGAGCATGTATTATGGGGTCAATCTCAAAAAGGATGGTCATTCCAAGTGGAAGTCGGGCAGTTTCCACCTCGTCTTCGGCGGCTACTCACATGGTGGCTTTCATGGTTGTACTACCTCTACTTCGAGATATCCTGAGATTGTGCAGATGTTGAATGCATATCTTCGACACTTGCTTCCGCATCAAACATGGACCTCGTTGATGGTGACCTTCAATGGCAAGTCTGTTCCTCATAAAGATCATCATAATCTTTCTGGCGCCCTCAACGCTACCGTCTGCCTGGGCTCCTTCGCCGGAGGAGAACTCTGGATTGCTGGCAAACCTCCTGCTGGCACACTTCCTACCCGGCGCCGGAGAACGGATGGCTCCATGGTGGAGGGATATCTGGTGAGTGTTTATGGGCAACCAGCAGTCTTCTCGCCCAACACGTTACATGCAACGCAAGATTGGAAGGGCTTTCGCATCGCCCTCACTGCGTATACCACCAGGATGTACCCGGCATTCGCGATGGAAGACGTGCGCAATCTGCGCAAGCTTGGCTTTCCTCTTCCTGCTGCGCAATCCCAAGAACTAGTACCTCACACCTCCTCTACTACGACTTCGAAGGGGTCAGCTTCTAGTTGTGAAATTCAATCCCGAGAACTAGTACCTCACACCTCATCTACTACGACTTCTCAAGGGGGTTTAGTTGAACCACAGTCTTCTGACGATGCTCGGGAGGGGTTTCAAACAGCAGTCAATACCACGGAGTCCATGGAGGAGGAGAATGTGACAGACCAACAACGTCAGCAGTGGGATGCACAACTTGCCAAGTTCCACAAGGCCGCTGGACATCCCACATCTCGCAACTTGTCCAGAGTGGTCAAAGAAGCTGGACATCCTGATTGGAAGGTGAAGGCGGCGCTTAACTACAAGTGTCCAACGTGTGAGTCCCTGAAACCTGGAGGTATCTCTTCTGGTCAAGTCCCTCCTGCGAGTACATCTCCGTTTTACAAGGCGTGGGAAGCTGTATCTGCTGATGCTGGTGAATGGGTGGTCCCCAGCAGCAAAATGAAGGTGAAGTTCATCCTGTTCATGGATTTAGCGACCAAATTGCGTGTGATATACCCTATCAAGATCTACGAGATCATGTCCATGCAGGCAGAATCAGCTGAGGATGTCATCATGGCTTTGTCAGAGAGATGGCTTGCCTCCTTTCCGAAGCCACGGCTCCTAGTGATGGATGCAGCAAAGACCTTCTCCTCTGATAGGATGCATTCCTTCCTGTCGTCGGTGAATATCCTGCCGCACTTCGTGGCTGAGAAAGAGCCGTGGGCCCATGGTGTCACCGAAGCCAATGTTCAGGATGTCAAGCACACGGCATCTGCTATCCACAAGGAAGCCCTGGACCAGCATCCCTTCATCTCCCTCTACCTGGCGGTGTCTGCCTTAAACTCCACCGAGATCACTGCCGGCTATTCCGCGTTTCAATGGGCCTATGGCCAACAGTTTCAGATCACGGACGAAGATGCCCGAACCTTCGCCATGGTGCCCAAGGATCCTTCCTTTGACTATGCTCGACTTTTAGCAGCAAGGGAGGAGGCAGAGATCATTGCCAAAAGGACGAAGGCTAAGCGCGTTCTATCCAAACTTGCCAATTCGACCGTCCGACAACCTCTTAGAGAGTTTGCCCCGATGACGTTGGTCAAAGTCTGGCGCAAGCTATGGCCGGCAGAAGTGCATAAAGGACCGCGTGGGGGACTCAAGAAATCTGGTCGTCCTCATTGGGTAGGTCCTGGAAGGGTGGTCTTTCACGAGGTGCTGCCTCAGCAAGCTTCTGGAGATCCCCGTAGACATATCGTCTGGGTGCTCATAGGGACCCAAGTGTTCCGCTGTTCTGTGCACTCCGTGCGACCTGTGACGGAGACCGAGCGCTTCATGTACGAAACCAGTGGGCAGGAGGATTTCAGTAGGTGGAGGACACTGGATGATGTTCTACCTCGACGTGAGTACACCGACATCACGGAGGAGGAGCCGAATGAGGACGAAGTGGAAATGCCTGATCTACCACCTCGACCTGACTCCACCACGACCGTCAACCCTTCGAGGCGAGTCACGGGCAAAGCGACTCCTCTGTCTGAGCCTGCCTCTTCAACGGCTGAACCGACTCCTGCACCAACGACAACTAGGCCTTTGGAGGACGTCAACGACTACGACAACGAACCGGCAGCGAAGAAAGCTCGTGGAGATGATCTCGACTGGGTCGAACAGCTTACAATGGAAGCTGATCGAGAAGCCAGAGCCATGGACATTTTTGCTGCCATGGACGACACCGAGGAGTTCCTCAAGATCGAGTTCGATGTGGGCAATCTCAGCAACCGCCAGAAGAAGCATCTGGAGAGAGATCCGGTCACCTTTATGGTCAAAAAGATGCGAGATAGTGAAGTCTCCATCTCACGTCTCAAGCCGGAAGAACGAGCCAAGGCGAAAGAGGTTGACAGCTTCATGCGTAACGAGGCTGTGCGCAAGTGCCTCAACCAAGACGAAGTTCGCGAGGCGTACTCCTCTGGTCGCATCGTGAAGGCTCGTTGGGTGTTGACCTGGAAACCGGTACCTCCTGAAGACCGTGAAAGTGCTCTTCAGGACCAACGAAACAATCCAGAAACCTTGCGCGCCAAAGATGGGGCGCGCAAGGCAAAGGCCCGGATCGTCCTGTTGGGCTTCCAGCACCCTAGCCTATTGGATCCATCCTTCAAGACTTCTTCGCCTGTGCAATCCACATTGGGCCGGAACTTGCTTTACGCCATGTCTGTTCAACATCAGTGGCCTCTTGAGGGTCTAGACCTTGCCACGGCCTTTCTTCAGACCTTACCGACGGAGGCGGACAAGAACCTGTGGACGACGGGAGTTGAAGAACTTCGCGAAGCTCTAGGTGTTGGACAAGAAGGCATCATGCGAATCCTTCGTAATATCTATGGCAGCACAACGGCTCCTCGTGGACTTTGGCTGGGCCTTCATCGGAAGCTCACAAGTTTGGGAGCTCAAGCGGTTCGTGGAGAGCGTTGTCTTTGGGTGTGGTTGTCACGAACTCGAAAAGATCGTGATCATCCCCTCTCCATTGGAGCAATGGGTGGACATGTGGATGACTTTCACCGCTTGGGTGATGGGTCAGCTGAATGGCTGGAAATCAAGAAGAAGATTGACAGCATATATCAATGGGGAACCGCGAAGACTGGTTCATACAGGCATGCGGGCACGGATGTGACCACTTCTGTGGATGAGCGCGGCTATCAGCAGATCACGGTGGACCAGAACTGCTATGTGGAGTCTCTACAGGATGTGCAGATTTCACCGGAGCGCCTTGCCGTGGACCTCCCCCTCACCAAGCAGGAGGTTGAAGCCTGTCGGACCTCTCTTGGAGCCCTTCAGTGGTTAGCTGTCCAGAGTCAGCCACAGCTTTGCTCACGCTGCAACCTGCTTCTGACGGACCTCATAACCATTGGCAAGACCTCTGTTGCCAAGGAGATTCAGCAGATGATTGGCGAAGTACGTGCCGAGTCCTTCTCGCTCAAGTTCTCCAAGCTGGATGGCGTGCAACATTGGACTGACCTTGTCGTGATCTCTATGGGAGATCAAGCCCATGGTAATAGGCCTCAGGGAGACAGCGCCGGGGGAATGATCACACTTCTCTCAGGACCAAACAGCCTTAGCGGTCAGGTCTGCGCCATGACTCTTGTCTCATGGCGAACATGGAAACTCAAACGTAAGGCGATAGGGTCGAACGATGCAGAAGTGCAATCGATCCTGGAAGCCGAAGATGCCAATTTTAGAACGAGACTTCTATGGACTGAGCTGCACGGCGCTGGCGGCCTGGAAGGAGACCGTGACCGCCGCTTGGACTTGGTCGAGAACACGGAGAAGCAAGTTCTACGTGTTCAAGGTGTTCTTTGTACTGACTCGAAGGGTGGCTTCGACGCGGTTGAAGTCAATGAATCGCCGTTGCTTGGACTGAGCAACATGAGGGCTGCCCTTCAGGCCTTCCAGTTGAGAGAGAACCTTCAACGAGCAGGTTGTCTTCTGGGATGGCTGGCCTCGGACTATGATCTTGCGGATGCCTTAACCAAGAAGAAGTCGGATAGTCGAATTGGACTTGTACAGTTTTTGCGAACTGGTCATTGGGCCATCAAGTACGATCCAAGCTTTACCTCCGCTAAACGGAATAAGCAACAGGGTCGCACTGCCATAGATGTCATCCCTCGACAGCTCCAAAGCCCTCAGAGATATGTTGCTGAACTTTGTTTGGGTTTGGTGCAACATGTTCATTCCGGTGTTGAGTAATCAGCAACATATTCTCCGCTACATGTAGCTCAAGGAGGGCCCTTCTTTGCTTGAGATTCATGGTTCACGGTTGAGCGCTGCGCTCTTGAGAAAACAGCGCTGTGCGCGCTTCCTGACTGTGTTTTCTGAGCCCGATCTACGTTTCTGCTGTGCTGCTCGCTGCAGAATGCCTTGACCCTGGGTTCTTTCGTGATTTCGTCTTTAAAAAGACCACTTAGTAACTGAGCTATGATGTATTAGGGAATTCTCAGATCCTGGGCTCCTGATTTTCTATATTTAGATCCTCGAACCACAAGCTTCCAACAAATGTAGGGTATCTAAGATCCTGGGCTCCTATATAATTTCTTCTATGTAAATGTCTTACTACATAAGTTTCGAATGATTAAATGACTTGTCAGATCCTGGGCTCCTGATTAAATGAACTTCGAATTTTCAGATTCTGGTTCTTGATTTTCTTCATTCATCAACTTTACTAAATAAGCTTGGAATTATTACCGGAATTCTCAGATCCTGGGCTATTGTTTTTCCTGTATACGCCCCTTGCTAAACAAAATTCGCTCTCAAACCCTGCGCAAGGGATTTTGTTTATAAAGCAAGCTCCGTTTTTTGAGGGCAATCCTCACATCAGAGGCTCCTGATTTTCTCTCGAAGCTTCCACAAATTCTGAGATTCTGGGCTCCTGATTCTCCTCATGTGAGCCCATTATGAGATGAGCGTCTGTTTAGTTGGGGTGTGGGATCCTGGGCTCCTCATTTTCTCTACATCAGTCCCGTTCTAAAGAAGCTTGGATTTATCAGGTGAATTCTTAGATCAGAGGCTCCCCGTTGTGTTTCAATGAATACCTTATTTTCTTTCAATGAATACCTTATTAAACTGGTTAGGAGGCATGAAAGGGTTTTTCGAAAATTAGTACAAGGTGTCAATGTTTTCGAAGGAGAACACTTAGTCTTACTAGATTCATATTAGAGCTTCACCGAGAACAAAGGGAATGGGGTGTAGATTTAGATTTTCACCGGGTTGTGGAAGAATATTATGGGTTTCAATAATTCGTGTGCTCAAGAGATGTGCATAGTAGAAAGTTAACCTGATATTCAAGCAGTGTTTCCTCGTCTTTGAGGGGAGGCTGGGGATTGAGGGGTTGGAGTTTAGCGAGTAGTACAAACTAAACGGCAAACCAAACAGGAAGAACTAAAAACAACAAATGCAAAGCAACACAAACTGCAAACAGCCAGAATAACCAAAACCGAAAAACATGAAAAACCAAAAACACATAACATTCTGGAACCATGGATTTGATGGTCCACTGGAGGAGTGCAGAACTATTTGTTAAAGTTTTCTGTTTTTCCACTTTGATTTGTTTGGTTTTATTGGTTTTGTTTTCCCGGTATAGTTTGTATTACTCTCTAAACCCTAAACCATTAATCTCCTCTCGGCGTGCCTGTCGGGGGAAAATTCGGAAATGTACAAAAACGCAGCAGGCAGTTTGCTGCCCGGAGCCGATTTCTGAAATCCGAGGCCCTCAACTCCAATCGCAAACCCCAAAGTCGAAACCCTCGACACTAGGACCCTAAGCATTGGGTCCGGACCTTTCCGCTTTCAGCCTTGAACAATTTCCAGTGCAGGAGCTGACGATCCCGAACCTCCGAGATCGAATCGATGCCTTCCAGTACCGTCTCAGCAAGGCGGGCTAGAATAGCCTCTGCCTGGTTTGAGTTCAAGGAAGGGGTTCAGGGCTCATGGTTTTGGGTCTAGGGCCGTGGTTCGGAGTTTTTGTTTCTTTGTGTCAAGGTAGAGGATTGAAGACCTCCGGGCATTTGACCCCGTACTTTTCAGTTGTGCCCTCCACTTCAGGCTTAATTACGGCAGAAATACTTGTTTCAGGAATTCAATAGGGCTTGTTAAAAGATACTCGTCCAAGGCTTGACGGACCATGCTGTGCCATTGGAGTTCTGTCCATGATCCCCCGGCAAAAGTTGAAAATGTTTAGGCTGTGAGATGTCTTTGCTGGCACGCTGTCTTGTCAGAATCGGACTGGGGTGGCTCGGTCTCGAGCTTGCCAAATTCTTGAACCCCATATCTTGCAATAAATCTTGCAGCTCTTCAGGTAGCCTTCTGTGATGTAATGGTTTCGATGACTCTTAACCATTGACAGGCGGCGAAAGACAGAAACTACATGCAGCTGGAGAAAGAGCCTGGGCATCACCAGTGCATGTGCTGAGGGTCCTGCCTGGTGTGGAATGCGACAATCAGCAGATAACTTCACCATGGGAATGCAAGCCGAATACCTCAAAATGGCAATCTGCAAAATAGCAAAATATGTCGACAGCATCTGCATCGTTGTCTGCGGTAGTGGTGGTGGTGGTGGTGGTGGTGGTGGTGGTGGTGGTGGTGGTGGTTTTGTGCTGCTGCTGCTGCTGCTGGTG